CAAGCAACAGCTCGAAGGCTATCGAGTGTTGGACTTGTGGAAAGACCGGGCATTACAAGAATCAGTGCAATAGTGCACAGAAGGAGAAGGAGGCGAAGGCAGAGGTGAATGTCACTTCCACCTCAGGAGGAGACGACGCATTGATATGCTCTTTGGAGAGCAAGGAGGAATCTTGGGTGTTAGATTCAGGAGCGTCGTTCCATGCTACCTCTCAGAAAGAATTCTTCGAGAAGTATGTTCCCGGAAATCTTGGATACGTATATCTTGGTGATGATCAACCATGTGCTATTGTGGGCAAAGGCGTGGTGAAAATTAAGTTGAACGGGTCAGTATAGGAGCTGAAGGATGTCAGGCATATTCCCGACCTGAGAAAGAATTTAATATTCGTAGGCCAGTTGGCTGGCGAAGGATATACCACGACCTTCCATGAAGATGATTGGAAGATCTCAAAGGGCGCAATGACAATTGCCCGAGGCAAGAAGACTGGTATCCTATATATAACAGCAGGTGCACGTTGTTTGATCTCAGTTGCAGCAGGAAATGAGGCTTCAAAGTTGTGGCACCAGAGACTCGGTCATATGAGTGAGAAGGAGATGAAAATCATGCACACAAAGGGAAAACTCCCAGGACTACAGTCAGTGGAGATGGATATGTGTGAAGAAGTGTGGGTTTACTTTCTGAAGCATAAGTCAGAAGTATTTGAGGCTTTCAGGAGATGGAAAGCTATGGTCGAGAATGAGACCGGTCTGAGAATAAAGAAGCTCAGGACCGACAATAGCGGTGAGTATGAAGACACCGGATTCAAGAAGTTCTGTTATGAGCACGGGATCAGAATGGAGAGAACTGTGCCCGGCACGCCTCAGCAAAATGGTGTAGCTGAGCGGATGAACTGAACATTGACAGAGAGAGCTAGAAGCATTCGGGTACAGTCAGGCCTACCGAAGCAGTTCTGGGCAGAAGCGGTCAACACAGCAGCTTACTTGATCAACCGAGGTTCATCGGTTCCATTGGAGCACAGAATACCAGAGGAGGTATGGTGCGGAAAGGAGGTAAAACTCTCACATCTTAAAGTTTTTGATTGTGTAGCTTATGTGCATATTAGTGATCAAGGCAGGAATAAGCTTGATCCCAAGTCAAAGAAATGTACTTTCATCGGCTATGGTGAAGATGAGTTCGGCTACCGCATTTGGGACAACGAAAACAAGAAAGTGATCAGGAGCAGAGATGTGATATTCAACGAGAAGGTGATGTATAAGGACATGCACAAGATAGATGACTCAGAGAGCAAGTCAATGTTTGTAGATGCAGATGATGTCTCGAGTAACCTCTCGGAAGAACCCAATGCAGAAGATCCTCAGCCAGAAGAGCCTGTTGGACAAGATGGTGCGCAGGAGCCCGACGCACCAGCTCCGATATTAAGAAGATATTCTCGTCCTTCTGTACCCAACAGGAGATATATGAACTATCTGTTGCTGACAGATGGTGGTGAGCCTGAAAGCTTTGATGAAGCTTGTCAGGGTGGAGATGCGAGCAAGTGGGAGCTTGCTATGAAGGATGAGATAAAGTCTCTTATCTCAAACCAGACATGGGAACTAGCTGAGTTGCCCACGGGTAAGAAGGCACTCCACAACAAATGGGTGTACCGGGTGAAAGAGGAGCAGGATGGTTCCAGAAGATTTAAAGCCCGGCTAGTTGTCAAAGAATTCCAGCAGAAGGAAGGAATTGACTACACCGATATTTTCGCTCCCGTGGTGAAGCTAAATACTATCAGGACCGTGATGAGTATTGTAGCAATTGAAGATCTTCATCTTGAGCAGTTAGACGTGAAGACGGTGTTTCTTTACGGAGATCTAGAAGAGGAGATATACATGCACCAGCCAGAAGGTTTCTCAGAAGAAAAGAAGAAGAACCTGGTGTGCAGACTCAAGAAGAGCTTGTATGGCCTAAAACAAGCTCCAATGCAGTGGTACAAGAAGTTTGACGGCTTCATGCACAAGGAAGGTTTCCAGAAGTGTAACGCCGACCACTGTTGCTACTTCAAAAGATATCAGTCCAGTTATATCATCCTATTGCTATATGTTGATGATATGTTGGTTGCAGGAGCAGATATGGAGGATATCAGGAGTTTGAAGCAGCAGCTGTCAAAGGAGTTTGACATGAAGGACTTGGGTCCAGCAAAGAAGATCCTTGGAATGCAAATCACGAGAGATAAGAAGAGAGGTCTCTTGCAGTTATCTCAGACGGAGTACATCAACCGTGTTTTGCAGAGATTCAACATGGGCGACGCCAAGCCAGTGAGCACACCATTGGCCAGCCATTTTCATCTATCGAAGGATCAGTCTCCTCAGTCAGAAGAAGAGAAAGAGAGTATGGCTCAGGTTCCTTACGCCTCAGCTATCGGAAGTTTGATGTACGCAATGGTCTGTACGATACCAGACATTGGCCATGCAGTGGGAGTGGTCAGCCGGTTTATGTCAAATCCAGGAAAAGCTCATTGCGAAGTGGTCAAGTGGATTCTGAGATATCTACGAGGCACCACACAGAAGTGTTTGCACTTTGGTAAGGGAGAGGTAGAAGTGCAATGGTACGTAGATGTAGACTTCGGCGGAGAAGTTGATCACCGAAAAAGAACCACCGGCTATGTATTCACTGTCGGAACTACAGCTGTTAGTTGGATGTCACAGATACAGAAGATTGTCACTCTGTCCACTACAGAAGCTGAGTATGTTGCAGTGACTGAAGCCAGTAAAGAGATGATATGGCTTCAAGGTTTGTTAACAGAGCTGGGATTCAATCAGGAGAATAATGTTTTGCACAGTGATAGCCAGAGTGCGATACACTTGGCGAAGAATTCCGCATTTCATTCTAGAACGAAGCATATTGTGCTTCGGTACCACTTCATCAGATCCCTGTTGGAAGATGACGTGTTGAAACTGGAAAAGATTCCAGGAAGTAAGAATCCAGCAGACATGTTAACAAAGACAGTGACCGTTCAGAAACTAGAGTTGTGCGCAACTTCAGTTGGTCTTCATGCATAAATGATGAGGGCGGAGCCACACAGGAGAAGGAGCTTGATGAGATAGCCTGTTGACGGCGGTTTGATCTCCAAGTGGGAGATTGTTGAGATCGGTGTAGACTCAAACCTCCGCAGGCGAGCTCGATGTCGAGGCGGATCAGAGGCGAGCTCAAGGCGAGTTCGAGATCAGCGGCTTCAGGCGGATCCATCGCAGGCGAGCTCGAGATCCAGAAGCTGAAGGCGAATTCCTTCAGGCGAGTCGAGCGGATGGCTGCAGGCGAAGTTGGGGGCAGGCAGAAACCTCGAGCACGCGAGCTGCAGGCGAGTTCGTGGTCGAACCGCTGCAGGCGAGGTTGAAATCCAGGCTGTCGACAGCCTGTCGACAGCCTAGCTAGGGTTTCCTATAAAAGGGAAACCCTAGGGCTCGAGCGATCCGTATCTTTCCCTCTCTCTCTCTTCGATTCCTGGCGGCGGCTCACTCCTCCCCCTTGTCGCGATTTATTCTCCAGCGCTCTCTCTCTCTCTCTCTCGTGATTTCACAAGTGAAATCATTAAGGAAGAAATTAAAGAGGGGAGAAAGAAGTTAAGAGGGGTATTTAAGGAGTGAGGGAATCTTACTGTAGCTACAATAAAGATTGTATTTATTGAGGAATCTCAAGTTTGAGATTCGCTCTTGATTTGTAATTTCTTGTTAGATTAATAAGAAATTTACTGTGTGGCTCCCGAGGACGTAGGCAGTTGCCGAACCTCGTTAAAACTTGGTGTACTTTTTCTATTCTGCGTTTCTGTTGCATTAGGGATTTCGGCGTTAAATTCCCAACATGAAGATAATACCCCAAGGGCCTACTTGACAACTCCATTTAAAATGGTTTATTGGAATAAAACCAGATTAAGTCTTTATCTAGTTTCACAAAAAAACTAGATCAGGACCTGAACGGATTTTGTTAGGGAAAGTTTTGAGCTTAAATTGATTTTGTTTTTTATGATGTTTTCAGTTGCTAAATTGTAATTTCTTGTCAACAACAGGCAGGTATCCCCCATTACGCCTACTTCAGTTGACTCGACACTTGGGATAGGTAAGGTCCCGATTTAGCCGACTCGTCGAGTCAGCATCCCGCTGGGTCGACTCGAAAGGCGATACTTGTCGGTCCTCTTTTTAAAGACGACTCAAAAGGTCGTACCTCTCGACACCCCTCAATACAAGACAAAAGACGACTGCGACCTTGAGCCCCCCGCTGACAGCGCGTTGACATCACATTAAATGTTTGACAAGTGCCATCATTTCTTCATCCTCAACACTATTTATGGCACATCGGACCACTCCGGCTTCGCACGCCGCCTATCCCATCTCATTAATGTCGAAGTGATGTTGCCCGTTCCGCGACCACTCCACAATCAACACCTGTAAAGTCGACGCTGACTCAGCTGCCAGTCCATGCCCGGCCAAAGAGGCCAAAATGCCCTACCTTCATGACCAGAAAAGGAAAAACTATTCCCAACACGAGGGTAAGCAATTTCTCTGTATTTTTCGTCATTCCACTGCACTTAAGAACTGCAATAGTTCTCTATTTTTCTCACTCAAGTACATTGCTAACTTGATCGTCGGAGGAACAACGGGGGAATCAGACCCCGCCCTCTTGCGAGTTGCTACACGTGCAGGGAAGAATAACTCAACTCCAAATCAGATATTCTGAGAAGTTAGCGGCCTCTCATCAACCCAGTTCCTATCAGTTTATCTGTGTGATTGTATAACATCAACAGTTTTGATACACCTCCCTTCGGTCCAGAACAAAAGTGATTTAGGTCAAAACTAGTTTCGTGGAAGTTACTAAATTGAATCTAAGATGCAAAAGCTGACCCTTCACCGAGTTATTGCTTTATCATAACGACACTTTTGTAAGAGAAATCTAAATTACCCTTTTCTAAAAATGGGAAGGGATGAATAATAAAGATATAGACAAAAATTTTATTTGAGACTTGGACAGAAACATCCATTCTTTTACTATAACATGAGTAACACACGACACATTAAACTTAACGGTGTTAGTCGTGGTAGGAAATTAAGACAAATTCAGAAGAATTTGTGAAATATACAAACTTGGGAAAGATTTTGTTCAACGCACCCCCAAAAATACATAGGTAAAAATTCAATAATTATACAACTTCGAAGCTAGACAAGTTGAAGCCACCCACCACTAAACTTTCTCAAAAACACTTAATTAACTTTGCTACATATCTTCCTAATCTCTCCATTAGACCCAACAAGGGGACTAACATCTCCCATCTTAATCATGCCCTCAACAAAAGCAGAGTAAAATTTGCCAGTTCCGTCACTATAACTCTTCACCAAGGAGTCAGTTGATCCACCATTGAACAGCTCCTGATCAGAATGCATCAATCCTTTCTTGACAACGAGATTTCTATAGTAGTTGTTGTCGAAGGTTGTCGGAGTTTGGAGGTCTAATGGAGCCAGGTTCATGTCGCCCGACCCGCTTTGTTTCGGGCAGTTCGATTTTCGCAGTGTAGCGAAGGAAGGGTCGATATCGGAGTCATTGTAGATGTGGGATCTGAAGCTCGTGCATCTTGCTTGGCCTATTGTGTGTGCACCTGTATTGTGCATGGACCGAGTTAAAAAGATTTTCGTGAGCGTCGCATGTTAGAGTATAAAATTATAATCTTTAAACTTTATTGGAACTTTCAAGTTTTAATGTAAGAGAAATGATTTAACATGATATAAGAACAATCTAGGTATAAGCGGCACAGTTTAAAGATAATTTTAAAATGAGTAAATTGGGTCTGATGTGTAAATTCATGCTCTTGGTCGCTATGAAACCGATAGAGCACATATCCAAGCTCCAAGTTATGATTTCGATCTAAATGATAGTGATCCGG